TTATTGTTGTTGTTGTTGTTGTTGTTGTTGTTGTTATTATTGGGTTGTTGTTTTTGTCTTTCTTGTTGTTCTTATTTGTCATAGTGCAACCTTTTGGTTTATAATGACATGCCAAAAAATGCTTAACTGGGTAACAACAGTTGAATAATAAGTAAATAAATCCAAATCTGATGAATAAGCAGAGAACAAAATAAATAAATTACGCACACACACAAAAACATCCTGTTTATTTGTCCTTCCGTCTCCGTCTTCGAGGATTATGTTTTTTGTTATATTTAAATGGTACAAGTCTGCGTCTGCGCGCTTTTTTTTTTACATTTTGATTATCATTAATTTTTTGGATTTTTGGATTTTTCATTTAGAATTATTTTTCTTTTTAAATGCTTTTACTGCTATTTGAAAAAGTGCAAATGGCCCATGAATAGTGTTTCCTGTCGGCTCGAACCAATTATGTTACCGGAGGCCACAAAAAACAAGTCTATCTGCAGTTCATTTTCTTCATATGCACATAATCAGAGATAGGCCTGCGCGTAGGATGCCACCTTGTGGAAAAATGAGAAAACTTCAACGTCTAAGGTCAGCAGTGAGTCGCCATTATCACGTGCAGTATGGAGATTAACGTGTCTCTGTGGAGGATTCCACAGAGACACGTTGTTGTGACGCATTCCTACCCATGTTGTCTGTCTGTGTCTTGTAGGTGAAAAACCTGGAGAATGAGAAGAGAAGACTTGAGACAAAGCTGAAGATCCTCAGGGAGCAGGAGGACTACAACGGGAAGGTTGAGTATCTTGTGAAGCAGCTGGAGAACGAGCTGGAGCAGCAGATTGAAAGCTTGAAATCCGACCAGAACAAACTGCAGCCTGAGCTGCAGGAGATCCAGGACGAGGTGGACGATACCAAGAAAAGGTCAGCAAATCACAGGGCGGCTGATTTTACTGAACATGTTGATTGTTGCAATAAAACTTGTAACTTCATCAGTTTTTCACCTTTTTATTTGGAATTGGTTTCAGGTATGAAGACCAGTTGCGCCAGAGAGGTGACCTTGAGAACGACTTTATTGTGTCTAAAAAGGTACTGTGAGCTTTAAAGTTTTATTCACCACTGTGTCGTCACTGGAGGCACATGTATGTATATTTAATGTGTGTGTTACAGGAAGTAGACGAAGGCCACTTGGAGGCAGTAGCTCTGGCTGTGGATCTTGAGGACCTGATGAGAACAATGGCCTTCCTCAGGCTCGCATTTGATGAGGTAATGAAAGTGATGAAAATCCAGTTAGTGAATTAACAGTATTGGTAATTACAAATGACAGGTGGTCTAATAAATTTGGTGTGTGGGTCTTTTCTTTGTCTCCACAATAACTCACTGTCTCCATGTCTGCCCCTGCAGGAGATCAAGGAGCTGGAGTCACGCATCCAGAACAAAACAGTGGTCCTACAGGACAACACCAGACGTTCTCTGGACATGGACCAGTTCATCAAGACCGTTGAGAATCAATATGCTACCATGGCTACCCGCACCAGGGAAGAGGCTGAGCAGTGGAACCAGAGAAAAGTATTTTTCTATGATTGCTTATATGACATTCAGTCTTACTGCAGATGTTTTGAGCATTTGACCTCCCTGTTCCCACTTTAGATGGAATCTCTGGTCCAAACTGTAGGAGAGCGCGAGCAAGAAGTGCGTGACATAAAGAGGGAGATTTCAGACTTGCTGCGTCTCATCCAGAGGCTTACAGCAGACCTGGAGAGTCTCAGAAGGAAGGTTGGTTCCCCTTACATACATTATTTGGACAGTATTTAGTCAGCACGCACGTTGTCCATCTATTCACTGCTGATGTTATCTTATCTCTGTTTTCCCATCAGGAGGAGGCCCTCATGAATGACCTGGATGATGCTAGAAAAGAGGGTGAGGAAAATCTCAACAAGGCCCGGGAAAATATCGCTCTGCTGGAAGATTGTTTGAAGCGGGCCAGGCAGGACTTGGCTACACTGATCCGTGATCACCAAGAGCTGCTGAACATCAAGCTGGCCATGGACATCGAGATCAACACCTACAAAAAGCTGCTGGAGGGCGAGGAGCAGAGGTATGTAAGCAGAGGGAGCATCGAAAAACCAAAGAGAAAAAATAATAATAAAATACCGTATTATCTAAATGTAGTGCTTGTACTAATATCTGTGTCTGCTCTATCTCCAGAATGAGCTACCTAATGCGCCAATCAGGTGAGAACCTTTGTTGTCTACTGACACATAAGTGTATACATTTTTATTCTTTATTTTACTAATTCTGTACAAATTTCCCTTTAATAAAATCTCTATCTTCTAAAGACAGTGGTTCCCAATAGTTTTGGCTCAGGATCCCTTATCGTGTTCTTTACTCAGGAATAGTTGAGTGAAAATATGAGTGATGATTTTATTCGTCCTTTTTTTAGTGTGAATATTGTTGGTGCTAAAATTGCAAAAACGGAGTTCTGACACTTGCAGAATATTGTCCTCCAAGCCCCAGTGTGGGATCTGAGCTCTAACTGAATATAAAGTGATTCATTTCTTTCTAATAAACCACTAACAAAGCTTTGTCATCCAATAATGCATTACTGCTGATCAATGTTACTATTTCACGTGTCCAAAAAAGCCTCAATTTTGGTCATCCAGTGAATCAGTGATGTCAGTAGAAACCAACAGAGAGAGTTAAATAAAGCAAAACGTTAACACATAAAAAAAGATCAATCTAAATTGAAAAATCAATCAAAAGCGAGCCAAACCAGTAACATCCATTTCACACATATCAGCATTCTCATGCTTGATTAATTTTTTTCATCCTACTAAAATCAAACCTCTTTTTTGCTCAGATTTCTAAAAACAAACCAACCAATCCAAGTCCTTACTTGCACGCAGACGTTCACCTGCCGCCGACGCGATACGTGCCAGCCAACCCGAAAGCCACCGAACCCACCCCTGTCCGGGATATCGCCGCCACCACGCCCACCACTATTGTCCCACCAGTGTCCCCTGCCACCAAGAAGCGCCTGTTGATCCGGTTGGAAGTGGAAGAAGGCAAACTTGTGTCTGAAAGTTACCAGTACACTGACTGATTGACTGGGACTGTCATGCCTCTGTCTGCAGCGTTAGAGTATGTCAGCTCAATCAGTCAGAGTCACCGATGGGGCTTCAAGCCTGTCCCAGCTGACATGGTGCCAGAAGAAGTGTGCCTGAGCTGGTCCAATCCATCACAGGCCGATATCCGCAAACTGTGAATCAATGTGAATGAAAATGTGAAACTAATTCAAATGAAGTTAAATTTATTTAAATTAAATATCCAGATTTTTTTTAATTTGTTTTTTATATATAATAATCTTTTTTAGTTTGTATGCTTTCTGGAAGAGTGAGCAGTAACAGCAGCTTCCCGGCAGGTTGAACGTTTGCCTAAAAATTGTGCGTGAATGTGTTCGTGTCAAGCAGTGTTTCTGGAAATGTTTTCTTTTCTTTGTTCGCATTCGTAAAGGCTTGTGGTGCTCCATTGTAGTTTTTGTTTTTTCTATTTCTCTTAAACATTTGTGAGCGAAATAGGAATCGGGCAGCTCTCTGTAAAAACACTGCAAAGGTTTCTCAGCGACATCAGCAGCAAAATAAGGAACTTGGAGGTTTAAAGGTGCAATTAAAGGAGCGGAGAGGACATATATGCATACGTTTCTTCATAAAGTGACAACAGGGCTTGGAATGGCTTTTCATGCAAAAACAAATCAGAATATTTCAGTGGTGCTGTAAGCTGTGCATCTTTACACAATGCTGCAAAGGGATGTTTTTTCTTATGTGTGTGGGACTTCTTACCTCAGCTTATGCCAAAGTGACATCTATCATTTGGGTGAATGTGTGCAGCGCAATAGCAATAAAATAATTCATGAAGCAAAAATGATTAATGTGTCTGCTGTCTTAATTTCATACTTACTGTTAGATTATTCTGTTATTATATGTTACCTTATATATGTAATCAAAAGTAGTTGAATT